ATTTATTTCAAATGAATGTGAGAACCCTTTCAATCGGACAATGTGTTCAAAAACCACCAAGTGAAATCATCTCCATCGGATAACATGTTCACAAACCACGAAATAAAAACCCCTCCATCGGACAATATGTTCACAAACCACGAAATGGACACCACTCCATTGGACAAAATGTTCACAGACCACGAAATGAAAACCCCTCCATCGGACTATGTGTTCACAAACCACGAAGTGACATTCCTCCGTCAGACAATGTTTTCACAAATCACGAATTGAAAACCTCTCTATCGGAGAATGTGTTCACAAACCACGAGACCTGATACATATTACCACGAGAAGTAGAAGTGATACATATAACCAAGAGAACTAATACATATTCCCTCGAGAAGTGATACATATAACTACGAGAACTGATACATGTTCCCACCAGAAGTGATACATATAACCACGAGAACTGATACATATTACCACGAAGAAAAGTATTTCTTTAGTATCTGATTAAAACCCGCACGTCGAGGAAAAAACGACAAAACCAATATCCCTATCAAAATAACACGACTAGGTATGCCTCGTTCGAATATAAGAACTAGTCGACAGGAAAATTAATACAGCTGGTTTCCATAGGAAATCCGACTGACTGTTGGACAATACGTTTACCAACGTTCCCTTGATGATCTGTAAGCAGATAAGTACATTTCAATGGTATTTTTGAATGCACAAAAGAATAAGCCAGAATCTTCTGGTTAGGATGTTTTAACATTCCTTTGAAGTATATATTTGCCTCGTCACTGAAAATATAAATATATGATCGAATCAAAAATGAAAGTATTTGCGGAAGAAAGTCACTTCTGTAATACAAATCTACTCACTATAGAAAAATATCACATTTCTATACTACAGATTGATTATAGGGAAGAAGATACCGGAGATATCAGATTTACATCTTGTATTTCTAGCTTGTTTACATACTGTTGCTTTCGGCCTTTCCCGAATTACTTCAAATATATTATACATGTAAATGTATATTCATAACTTATAAACTGGAGACAAGATATATAAACGTAGCTGATATACTTACCAACGACACAAATTCACAAAATCATGCATTATGTATTTGACATAAAGATAAAAACAAATTATCGGCGAATTAAAGTACGGGAAGACAATAATTCAGTTTTTGATAAGATAAAGGATTTTCGATTAAAAGAAAGTATGTGTACACCTGTTTTATATTAAAAGTATATAAAACATATTCAACTTTTTTTTTAAATTTGAAGTATCATATGACTTTAAATATATCAATGATAATTCATGTCAACATAGAAGTGCTGACTACAGGGCTGATGGGCCCCTGGGGGAGGAAACATTCACCAGCAGTAACATCGACAAAGTGGTTGTAACAAAACTCACCAAAGATACCAGTCTTATAATTTTCCAAGTGAATTTCTGAATTGATTTTCATTAAACGCTATTATATATACTTGTCAATGTGTGTTACTCATTGCTAAAATATAAAAGGTGGGATTGAGATTTCATACTTTAATCCCGCAACATGATCATGTATACCTGTTAAGCCATTGAACTTTTCCAGTGGGTTTTAGTAATACATGTATCTTAATGTTGTTTTACTACGTGTAGGGATTTAAACAGAATATTGTAGATTATATAAATCATCAAATATGTATCTAATTAACAGTAATTGATTGTTTGTGTTAAACGCAACTTTCAGGACTATTGGATATATGGTGGTGGCCAGCTTTTATGGAGGAAGCCGGACCCAAGTCAGGAGCCTGCAGTTCGTTCAGTTGTTGTCGTTGGTTCATGTCTGTCATATTTGTTTTCCGTTAACTGTTTTGTTATAAATTATGCCGTTTGTTTTCTCAGTTGAACTGTTTCATATTTTTCATGTCGGGGCCTTTTATAGCCGACTAATACGGTATGGGTTTTTTCTTATTGTTGAAGGCCATACGGTTGCCTATAATTGCTTACATCCACTTTATTTGAACTTTGGTGGATAGTTGTCTCATTGGCAATCATACCTCATCTCCTTATTTTTATATAGAAAAGAAGGTCATAGTGACATAATATTTTACACTGATAATCAGCAAATCAATATATAAAACACGGTGTAAAGATAACCGCCGATTATAGCCGGGTTCTTGTTGCTTAGTCTTTTATTTTCTGTGAAGTGTTTTGTAGAATGCATGTTGTTTGTCTTTTTAGTTAGTTCTTCTTTTTTGGCAATGATGTTTTTCTTCCTCTTTTACTTTTGATTGTTCCTTTGTTCAGTTTGGACTCTTTTAAACAACAATAGTAAAAAGTAAAATAACACTAACGGTATCAACTTTACTGCACCGGATGCGCATTTTGACAATAAATATAACTTTGTGAAGATTTTTATTCAACCAAATGGAAAGATCTAAACGACGCGATAGTCAAGCGCCCACATTGTAAAACAAGCTCTTAACATGCTTAAACTCCCAACATTACTTAAAAAAACATAAAAAAAAATATGCAATGTAATGCAATGTAAACAGCAATGTTATAAAGTGAAATCATTGATATTATTTTATAAGACTAATATCTGAACAACACTGAGACTGGTTTTATTTAATTCATGTTAAATGATTTATATTTCAATATTAATTCAGTATTTGTATTGTTAAATGTGTAAAAAAAATAGATTAAAACAATTTAATACCGATAATCTTAACTCAATATAATTCTGTAATAAAAACAATCATTTCGTTCGTTTAAACACAAGACGCATTTGAGAACGAACTATAAATTTAAATTCCATATATTTGACACAAAATTAGCATCAATAAAGAAAAAAATATTCAAAGAGGAATAAAAGTCGTCTGTTTCAAATTTTCTAATTTTGGTATACTCTTATATCGATGACAAAAGAGGAAACAGCCGTTGTTGCTTTTAGAGTAAGTTCAGATTTAGAGATAAGCATGTAGCCAATACACTTGGTTTAATATATACTTAAAGCAAATCAGAAAATGTTTCTTTATGCACGACACGTATCAATATATGTGTCAGGTAAAACTTTTGCTTGGAGCACACGTGACCTAATTGGTTCCACAATCTAACGTTCTTTCATTTAATGCGCTTTACACGAGAATTTAATCGGTTCCATAATCCATTTAATTCGCTTTACACGTGAACTTAATCGGTTCCATAATCCATTTAATTCGCTTGACACGTGAACTTAATCGGTTCCATAATCCATTTAATTCGCTTTACACGTGAACTTAATCGGTTCCACAGACCTAGCATGTATACGTAAAATGCGCTGCTGATGACAACTTGATCGGTTCCACAGACCTAGCATGTATACGTAAAATGCGCTGCTGATGACAACTTGATCGGTTCCACAGACCTAGCATGTATACGTAAAATGCGCTGCTGATTACAACTTGATCGGTTCCACAGACCTAGCATGTATACGTAAAATGCGCTGCTGATGACAACTTGATCGGTTCCACAGACCTAGCATGTATACGTAAAATGCGCTGCTGATGACAACTTGATCGGTTCCACAGACCTAGCATGTATACGTAAAATGCGCTGCTGATGACAACTTAATCGGTTCCACAGACCTAGCATGTATACGTAAAATGCGCTGCTGATGACAACTTGATCGGTTCCACAGACCTAGCATGTATACGTAAAATGCGCTGCTGATGACAACTTCATCGGTTCCACAGACCTAGCATGTATACGTAAAATGCGCTGCTGATGACAACTTGATCGGTTCCACAGACCTAGCATGTATACGTAAAATGCGCTGCTGATGACAACTTAATCGGTTCCACAGACTTAGCATGTATATGTAAAATGCGCTGCTGATGACAACTTGATCGGTTCCACAGACCAAGCATGTATACGTAAAATGCGCTGCTAATGACAACTTGATCGGTTCCACAGATCTTACGGCGATACCCTGGAGAACTTGGTCGATTTCATAGCCCTTGCTTGTTTTACATTTGATGCGCATCACACGAGAACTGGATTGGTTCCATAGTCCTTAGGATTTGTGCCGTAGTTCTTATGTTTTTACATGTAATGCGCTTCACACGAGAACTTAATCGGTTCCATGCTTCATACGTGTTTACATAAAATAACAATGTCGTTATATTCGAGCGATCTTATGACAGATGGTATGTTTATGATTTCAATAGTACATTTAACAATAACAAAGCTGCAGCATTTTTGGACAACCTTAATGTTGTGTAGATTGATATTGATCCTAAATGGAAATGATATATCACAGAAGTACTATCTGTCAATGAATATTTCAACAAGTACAAAAGTGTAAGATTGCCAAACAGACATCATATGGTAAACAAACAAAATGCACTAAAACGTAAAATCTTGGACTAATAATATATAGATCTGGTCTGTCGGGATCCTATTGTAAACTAATCAAGGCAAGGAGTTTCCTGTAGATACTGTTAAATACCACAATCTGATTTCAGAAATTCAAAATTCTGTGTTTCAGGAAAATAAATTGTCTATTAGTACATATTAACATTTATATTTTTTCAATAATAAAACCAATCCTGCAGGTATATTCAAATCAAAGGCTACTGCATTTATAGGATGTAACTTTAGAAAGTGAACAATTTCCGACATTAAAACGATGTTTTACTGATGAAAATATCGGTTGTTAAGCGTGGGATATTTTATAAGCTGTTTGGAAGCGTTTCGAAGGGCGATGCAAAATGAGTAATACTCACCACAGCAAAAAAATGATAGTTACCAATAAATATATTTCATAGTTTTAAATTGCTTTAAAATATGTAAATGATTTCTAAATTATATCACATAGGTGAAGACATTCGCTCATTTAAAACATTACAAAAAATCAGTAAGTTACATCAAAATAGACTACTATAACGCTTTTTAAAATATTTCCCGGTTCAGCGAGCGCATCCTTCTCATTGTGTTGTTTTCTTAAAAGATACCTTAAATTGACAAACTGTTTGTTAAACGGGAAGGTGTATCATTTCATTGTTACGGATAGATGATTTGTATATAAAAGGTTGCGGAAAATAAGCCCGTTATACTTGTATACTACATCAATGCTGTAAAACAGATTCGTAGGCTAACCATAACATATGTTGACAAATTGGAAGTCAAAAGCATTTTAAAATAAAACAAAAATGCCAAAATCTTTCCTAATTAAGAAATATAATAAGAGGAATAGAAGTTTGTGTTGTGCCAAATTACGAACATTTCGGGATGAAGATAAAACAGATGATAGTACGTTAAATGTAGCTGTCTCAAGCCAAGATGATTTGAATCTTAAGGATAATGTCATTAGAGGTAAATATTAATATATATTAATTAAACTGGCTCTAAGAATAGCAGAGGATAACATGGACATGCACATAGGAGGATAGAGTGCTAAGGATATATTTTGTTTTAGGGGAAATATGTTTTTTTTAATGAATACTTAATTTCTGTGAAAGTTATTATTAAATTTCTATATTTCAACTTTACAAATTTTACCAACAGCTACGTCCATAATGAATTTTTAGTTTGACCTATGGTGCAAGAAAATAAAATTAGTAAAATATTCAACAAAAAATAACTAAATCCAAGCTAGCAGCTAGTTTTCAGATATATCTACAAACCCAAAAGTTGCACAACTTAATAATAACGGTTGAACAACTTGGAAAACAGTTTGGTAGAAAGCAAACCTGAGTTCAAGCTAAAGTATTTAATAAGGAATTTAGTTTATGCCGAACAAGATTATTGTCTTAAAATATAGTCCTATCCGACTCGACTCAATACATTACTAAACAGGAAAAAAAGAAAACTTAACGAATGTTAACATTTTAAGCATTTAATCGATCTTTATCAACCTGTCTTAACCATAAACAATAAGTCTTGTATTAAATCATACAAAATGCCATTTAAACATTAAATACTTTATTTCATTTTGAACATTTTTAAGATGAAACTTGTTATATCACCAATATTTCTGTATTCGATATTCTTGCCGTAAATGTATACGAAAAACGGAGTGAATATTGAATTAAATTATGATACTGTTTTCGTAAAGATTTACCGAATGTACATGCACCAAACTGAAAATTAGAGAGAGAAATTGTCATTAGATATGAAATAATTGATAAAAAGGAATTTAATTTTGAATATGCATCAACTAAAACCGTAAGCGGTTTACATTTATAACATTTGATAGGAATTCAAACCTTCCATTTTTATATAAAACAGTTAGACATCTTCAGTTACGGATTTTGTTAATAGAAGAAACACTTGCGAACAAATGAGTTTGTTTAGATTCCCACAAGTATATTATCGTCAGCATGGTATTATTTACTTAGCGATATACCTATAATGTGTATTCAGTTATCTTACTAATTAGAAAAACCGTTTGGGTGTGTAGATGCTTAAAATTGAAAGATTTAAGAGGAATCTTTTAAATGGAAACAAAACAAATCGTGAATGGATGTAAAATAAACAAAGTGTATAGACACTGATATCTTTGACAGTTATATTTAATGTAACTGTTCAAGTATATAATTACAGTAATTATGGGATGTTACCTGAGGGAGATGTTTGGTGCGCATGACAAAATCTCATCCTGTGACCAGCCAATCAAGTTACACTTCATTTTACATATGATCACAGCTATTCAGTTGCCATGTCCAAATTATTTATTGTTATAGAGTATTATTTCGAACAAGCATGCAAAACATCAAATATATAAAATGAACTTTTCATTTATAAATTAGTTCCGTGGAAGTATGCTTACGGAGGATTTATGTTCAACACTGATTTTTTAGGTGATTAATTTTAAATTTGTTATTTTTTTGTTTGTTTGTTTTTGTTTTTGTTTTATTGCTTATTTTTAGCTCACTTGGCCCATAGATCCAAGTGAGCTTTTCTCACCACTTGGGGTCAGTCGTCCGTCGACGTCCGTTAACTTTTACAAAAATATCTTCTCTGAAACTACAGGGCCAATTTGAACCAAACTTAGCCATTATCATCCTTGCGGTATTAAGTTCAAAATTTGGGTCCGGTGATCCCGCCTGCCAACCAACATGGCTAAAAATAGAACATATGGGTGAAATGCATTTTTTTAAAATGTTTTTCCTCTTATCTTGATAACTATTATATATACTAGACAGAGAGAAAATGATCAGCAAGACAAGATCTACAAATAAGTCAATTGGCCGAATTTGTCAGACGACTCCTTATTGGAGTTATTGTCTATAAATGGCGATTTTTACCATTGTTTTCGTTTTTTAGATAGATAGGCACTTTAAAAAGCAAAAAAGATCAAAGACAAGATCTACAAATAAGCCAACATGGCCAAAATATTAGTCAACTCCTTAATAGAGTTTTTGCTCTTTAATGCCACAAGCTTGTTAGAGTCTCTAGTTTATAAACTGATGGATCAACGGCTTCCTACACTTGGAGATATTTTTTCCTTGCATCTAAAGAGTCTCTAAATATGAAAAATATCCAAACTGTTTCGTTGAAATTGGTCATTTGCGTTTCATTCACATTTATTGAAGGAGGAAGAAAAAGTTAGGTTTTTGCGTTTTTTTAGAGTTTATTTGTCGTATCTTTTTTTTTACACTTTATTTTATATTTTAGTATTAAAATACCACAGGGTGGGGTTTGAAAAGGACTTTATTAACAATATCGTAAATCTGACGGAATTGGATGTAAATCATTGATATACAATACCTTCCAATATATGACAAAAACATTGTCGCTTTATTGTAAAACCTCACACCTGTTCGTCGGGTCGTGTACTCTCATAAATTGCAGTTTAATAAAATTTAAATTGACAGAAAAATAGAGTAAATGAAATTGAAGAATCTTTTTTCACTGATTTATATATAAATCTGACAACCGTGTTTTGTCGAGGAATAAAAAGGTTAGTAATGAAATTCTATTAAAAAAATTTTACAACATTTTATTATTTCCTTATAAAACATCGCATAAAAAAATAAAACATTAATGTAAAGCGAATAAGAAGGTCCCCCAAAACATTCAATAAGATTTATGGGCATGTAGATATAAAATAAACTTTAAATATTATTATTTTTGAAAAATATAGTTAAGAAGATGCATCCGTCCTACGTTAATAATAAAACTAACCCCAGGCCGAAGTCATGTAGGGTGTGATGGGTCGTTAGTTTCATAACATGGACCAACATCTCATTATATTTGTGATACTTATATATAATAACCCAGGAGTGGATTTTTAAATTGAATTCCTTGCACCGATGGTTTTATTTCAAAATGTTTATTCTCTGTTTTAAGAGACGCACGGAGACATAACAAAAAACGAAGATGTTGACAAACGACACAATCTGCCGTCCGTTTAATAGCGTATCGTATAATCTGCCGTCCGTTTAATAGCATATCATAATCCATTATGATTTATCGTTTTATCACAGCGTTTCTGTAATAGCATTTCATTAAACCCTTTGAAAGGTAACGTTCTAATGCCACAGGAGATATCTTACATGTTTTATATGTGTTTAATTATGCGAATATTTGACAAATGGTCGTTTTTAACTTCATTAAACGGGAATATATTTTCGAACATTGATCCCTATTTGGCTTTCATATGAAAATACACTTCATCGAGTTTTTTTCATTTCTATGTACGAAACTTGTTATAAATTACTCTCTGATAAGTGCCTTTTTATTATCAATTATAGATGTTTGTCCCGATATTGCATCTAGACCAGATTTGGGAGAATGCCAGCTACGTACAATTTCTGAAGAACATGTCTATGAATGCACTACTGAATGTCAATCTTTGGTTCCAAAGCAGCAAGATATGCCAATTATAAAGAAACCCGAGAGACAACGAATGTTTCTACCATTGATTCCGGATTCTGATCTTTATCACTATGTCCAACACCCGCCTAAAATGAACATCTACAGTCCTGTGTCGCCATTATCTATATTCCCATTTAGACAACATGAACTGTGTTCGCCTATGTCTACTTCCCCGTCGTCTATACCAAGTCCATGCTCTGATGTATCCATGGAGTATGACAGCCTTACCAACAGACTAACTCCTGATATATGTACAGATAACCTATACAGAAAAAAAGATATTGATCTCAAAATATTACCGGTATAGTTATTTTATAACATAATGAATTTACGATAAAGAATACATTTGTTTGGTACATTTTTGATACATGTACAAGGTCACGGTAATGTTAGATCTTTTCACAAATGATTAAAATAGGAAATTCCCGAACAATTGACAGATATATTTTATTCGCTGATGTCCAAAAGTATGCGTGTTATAAATTTGAAGCATTACTTTTAGGAACCTCCTCTAAATAAACACGATATTTTTCTATATTTATAACATAATGAATTTACGATAAAGAATACATTTGTTTGGTACATTTTTGATACATTTACAAGGTAATATTAGATCTTTTTCACAAATGAACAAAATAGGAAATTCCCAAACAACTGACAGATATATTTTATTCGCTGATGTCCAAAAGTATGCGTGTTATAAATTTGAAACATTACTTTTAGAAACCTCCTCTAAATAAACACGATATATTTCTATATTTATCCACCGCTCTCTTTTTATGAAAATGTTTTTTTAAAAGTCTTAAGTTTACCACTGTGTATACTGTCAAATCACCAGAAAGTAAATGTTCGAATTAATTTTACAACTGCTACATTAAAGCTTCATTCGATTAGAACAGAAGAGGCCAGACAGTTTCAATACATTTTAGAATATTATTGAAATAAATAGAATACCTTTCGTTTGAGAAAATAAGTGATCATAGTCAATTTTGTCATGTCTCGAAGAATTGTACACAGTCATACTAGAATGTTTGCCTTTTTCGTTCTTGCAACTTTTTTTACGCATTTGAATTTCAAAGTTTATTCAGAAATGTGTTACAGAAAGGCATATTGAGATGAAAATTTAAACCGGTAAGTTATTTTCTCTTTCGGTACCTTTTTTAGAGCTCTCCTGTAAAAATTGCATACAGTAAATCCTGTATGCAACTACGGTATAATTGTATATGTGTACATATGTATGTTCATTTGTATCTTACAGGGTGTAGAGCTTGTAAACGGAGGTTACGGAATAAAGAATCCGTTATTGGCACATGTTCCACAAGATCTGACGACAGGTCATGGTGAGTCGATCTGATTCGGTTTCATTAAAAAAAAATTTAATGCATTTTTGTTTTTCTATAAAACGAATTACTTTTCTTATGTGAATGATAATTGAAATATTTTAAATTTACATAAACAATTTTATTTTTAGCGAGCCCAAAGCAAGTTATTACAAAAGCGAATAAAATATTGGTTAAGGTGTTTGAAATAATTTTGTTTATTAAAAGACGAAACAAAAATGAGGAAATAACATACTGTATTGTTCAACACTTTAATAACACTAAATAAAAATAGATGTAATATATATTTTTTGTATGTATTCTTCAGTTAAACAGACCAAAGACAACAAATATATATGCCGTATGTGCAATAAGGAATTCAGTTTACAAAGACTACTAAACAGACATTTGAAGTGTCATAGTGAGGTGAAGAGATTTCTATGTACGTTCTGTGGGAAAGGATTCAATGACACGTTCGATCTGAAACGACACACGAGAACACATACGGGTAAGATATATGCAAATGCCATTCGAAAATGTATTTTTTTTTAATAAACAACAGCTAAGACATGAATATGCATGGTACCAATATTAAAGTAAGATAAAAGTCATTAGCGTTAAAATATAAGCATTCGAAAATACTTTGGATTACTGTATACTATAACTGTTGTACGTGCTTCAAAAATTTTTAACACTCAAACACTTCATTATTTCATCTTGGTTTTACTATATCAGAAACGTGCAAAATATGACACTTTAAATTGCCTCAATCACTGTCGTTGCCACGTGAACCAGTAAACGAAATACGTCAATAACATTTCGATTAAAAAACAGAAAACAAAAAACGTATGAGCATAAGTCATTTTCCAAGGACTTTCCACATTTATATTTTGAGTTATCTTTCTTCAAATGATTTTGCTGAACTAATTCTTACTATTACAAAAATACTAGTGACTTATTGCATGAGAAACATTACCTCATACTTTTACTTCATATAGGTGTGCGACCTTATAAATGTGACAGATGTGGTAAAGCTTTTACACAGCGATGCTCTTTGGAATCTCACGGTAAAAAAGTCCACGGTGTCAGTTATACATTTGTACATAAACAACGCAGAAGGAAGTTGTACGTTTGTGAAGACTGTGGTAATGCAGAGAGCGATCCAGGATTACATTACCTCCATCTTAAAAAATTTCATCCTCATAATCCTGTGCTGATGAAGTTCTATGATAAACGCCAATTTAAGTTCGATGCAGATATCCAATGCAATGGAACAAGATGTTACGAACAATCAAGGGACTAAATATATTTATATTTAAATGTGTGATCAAGTTTACGTGGTGATAGTATGCAATGCTGAAATGTATGTGGTTCTATATTAAATCTCTCATGTCTAAAATCAAATCAGCAACCTGAAATTTAAGACTTGTTTCTTAACCGTTTGTAGAAAAGTTAGTACATTTTTTAGTTACTTTCTTAGACGATCATATAGAAATATGGTCGCTTTGTACACGACATTTCAATGGTTATATTTTTCAAATATGGTGACTTTATTATCGCTGGGTTACGTCTTTTACTTTAAGTTGCTGTAGGATATGACTTTGTAATCGGGTGAAGGATGATGCATGTATGACTAGGTGGCGCTTACCCTGTCGACGCAGCTGGTATCGCATCATTTGGGGTTCATGCGAATCCAATTGTTTCCACTCCCATATCTGTTTAAACCTAGACTTGCGTTGCTTTAAGGTAGTATGGGGGTATTCCGCCACCTTGGATCGTAAAATAGCAATAAAACGATCAGTCTAGATTTTCAATTAAAAATTTTAATTTCAAAGCAAGGATGCAATTAATTTGTAAGATTTTTCATTTGAATTAAGAAAATTGTGTGATTTATCTTATTATTAATACTGTTTTTACAAAAACAGAATATTTTTTATTGATTAAAAAAATATAAACCTCAGCCTTGTAAGGGGAGATAACTCACATAATCATTTTCTATAATGGAACGTTAAATAAATTTTTCTACTTGGTGAAATAGCAAGCAAAATAAAGTATTTTATAACAACATTTGAAAAGAGCTATTTTATAAATCTTTTTTTTTAGTTTTCTTTCAATTCACATAATCATGCCTTTTCCTTGTATAATCCTTTACACAATTTGAATATTGTTTTACAACATTTAGCTATAAAACAATTTCGGTGACCTTAAATTGTTATTTTATTTTTGAAAATGGCACGACATGAACAACATTTTGGAAATGTATGAAATAAATTTGTCATTTATTTCTTACATCCCATACTATCTTAACAAACATCGCTGTACCGCCGTCATATTTACATATCCACAGATACAAAGTGTTGACAGCTATTTTTTTTCCATTTCATTCAGCGTTTTCCATTTAGCACAGAAGTGCTAATCATTGGTGCAATATGCAATTTTATCATCAAACGGATCCCGTGCAATTCGCAGGTCTGTGTGCAATAGTTTGATTTCACACTTGCAAGTTTTATCAACAATGTAAATATATATTCGTATGTTTTAGAGTAGATCTCCTCAATTACCACATCGTTTTGACCTCCAATCAACAATAATCTTTTTGCTGTTGAGTGTTTTTGTTGGAACTTTCTATGTATCAACAATGCTAGCACTGTTCTACTGTTCAATCTTCCATTTCCAAGTATTCCATTGGTGTCTTATCCCATACATATTCACCCTATATTCATTCTTTTCGAAGTTTGATTTCTTTACACGTACACATTTAAATGATGTATCACAAGTATGGAAATGAGTATCAAAATAACGTTTCATATGCTCGCTCACATGCATGCACGTCCATGGATGTTAATTACCGAATTGTGTTCAAATAAGGATGCCACCAGCTGCATGTTCTGTAGAATAATATACATGTGGTATGACTAAATCATAATATACATGTGGTATGACTAACTCATAAAATACATGTGGTATGACTAAATCATAATATACATGTGGTATGACTAAATCATAATAATATACATGTGGTATGACTAAATCATAATATACATGTGGTATGACTAAATCATAATATACATGTGGTATGACTAAGTCATAATAATACGCAGCCATATTTTTCAGAGCAAAACAAGACAATTATTCAAATGGAAATAACTCAAACCTTTTATCAGTTGAAAAAACCTTATTGCAATATTAGCACACTGTACTGAAGCAATCAATTAGCATAAACTGACATTCTTCCTGTAATACATGTAATTGTACATAATCTTTTTGTTATCTACCTCTAATACTATTAATTAGAAGATATATCATTGATAAATGATGTATTTGATAAATGAAAATAATTTTTATAAAACAAATACTATATTTTACAGTGTACATTTTATTTTACAGAACTATTTTTATACAAATATTGTAACTACATAAAACTTTTTTTCATTGAATATCTCTGTATGGACAGAGCTCAGATTAGTTTTTTTTCTATAGTAATATAAACATTTCATTTGTCATAGTTTGTATATTTCTGTAAATAATTTGCTCAAATGTAAATTTAAATATTTATACATGTACATATACAGTTTGTTGAACCTTGAATAATATTTTATTGTTTGTTTGAAGAATTAACTTAAATTTTAATGAAAATGTAATAAATATTAAAGAATATTTTAATTGTTTATTTGTATTGTTAAAATTTGAAGCCTGGTGTAATTTATCCCAAATTCATACTATTACAGTCGAGTTCAAACCCTTTTCTACATAGCTTAGTTGCACTCTATATGCATAGTTACGCCATCCCATTGTTAGTAACCTGATCCTGTTCACGTGCCTATATATTCCACTAAGCCTGTTTTGCCATTTACATAACATTTTTACGAAAAAAACGTTAAGTCCGCGAAACTGAAAAACTTGAAAAATAAAACAATCAAAAACAGGTTAATGACTATGTTGGCTATAGTTAACTCATTGGTAAGCTCTTATTTTGTATCTATATTAACTTACATATAATAAAGTGTTACTTTGCAGATCAATGCATATTTTTTCAAAACGTTGGTACCAGCATTTCTTTCAGCATTGTCCAGAATACTATTCATAAAATTGAACATGATTGTTTCAACTGCAAAGATAAATATATTTTTCTTACACTTACAAATTTTACTTCCAGAATGCGGCCGTTTTATATGTTATTGAAAGACCTGAGAACGGGATATTTTACTTACAATACGGATTTTACACAAATAAAAAGAGATGAAAGTATACGTCAATGAGACAGCAACCCATCGACACAAGAACCAAACGATATCGAGAAGTCAACATACAATCATCAATAATGAATGAAATTTTTAGAAAATCTAACAGAGATTGTAAAAAATATGCCATCAATTTTTTTTTTCATTTTACTTGTTGAGAGATGAGCTTTCATAAATAGAAATTTAAACACAACCACCGATGATGTTCCTGATTTGAGACAGGTATATAAACATATTGCGGGCTTAAACTACGTGTTGTTTTTTTTTTTTTGGGGGGGGGGGGGGGGTGGTCAATCCTTCTTTTAATTTCGATTGATTGAGGCTGGGTATAGAAGGTGGTTTGTTGCAAGGAATATTAATCGATTGGAGGACTGGTTAAGGTACATCAAAACAATGCACGACAAAATAGTCCAGAAAAAATACTTAAATTTAAAATACTTGTATACTGAATTGGTATAATTATAATTATAAGAATAAGAATAAGACTATTTTATTTTCCAATTAACGGGCCCTTTAAAGAGCTTTTATTACACTACATACAAATACATAAGATTCGACATCAATTGAGAAACATAAAAGAAAACAACACAGTTTTACAGTAACTGTTATATAAAGCCAGGACAGAACCAGATAATACAAATAATATCTATCAAATAAACCACTCAAAATAAGTAATAGATAACAAAACACACGGCGCTTGTCAAACAATTTAAAAAAAATGATAAAACATGGGCACAATTACTGAAATCTTAACTTAAGTTGTGTACATGTGTGTCGTCATAACCTATAAGAAATCTAACAGAGTAAATCTGATTTTTTTGTGAAAACAAGAATCAGCGGTGTAAGAACTGTAACTCTTAAAAACAAGTAATGATTGTAACAGGATGTTGTTACGAAGTCTCCCAATCTAAGTCCAATTAGACAACCAATATATACCATTTGGGTAATGCCTAACCCATCAGTTCAGAGGGTATGTGCCAAATAATTTAGCTGAATGATGAAAAATAAAGAGTATTAGATTACTAAGTAATTGGAGCCTCATTAAACCGAAAAAATCTCTAATACACCATTTCAATTAAAACAAATTGGCACGGGCTTTCCCTGACCCAATTTTCCTGAAGGCATCTGTCTAGTTATACTGCTGAAAATTAAACCAGTTTTATGTTATATGCACCCTTTTAAACAAAAAATACATCATTGTGTTATTTTCGTCCATTTTGAACCCACAAATGCAGTATAATCCCCACCAAAAACTGGACAAGGTTTCTTTGGGAGAATCACCCGATAAATACTGCGAGAAAGTAATCATAATAATAAAAATAATAATAAAAACGTTAACTGAGCGAACAATAAGTCTCCCAACCTCTTTTGTTAGACTTGATAATGTGATACATTGTACTAGAAACCCTCTTTTTCTTTAAAAACAATTATAGTACTGCTTCCGTACAAAATCTGACGTATATTAAATTATCGAAATGACAGATTAAATGACCTATATTTTTGCATTATACGTATTGCAGTCGCTATGTTATGGTATCAGAACTTTTCAACACAGAATACAATAGACATATAATACTTATATGGGCCTATATGTATCCGTTTAAAAAAATGGAAAATCATAACTGATACAATTTTATAATATAAACATGAAAGTGTGTGGTATGATTGCCAATGAGATAATTATCCACTTGACACAAAGGGACGAGTATGTCAACAACTATAGGTCACCGTCCGGCCTTCGACAATGAGCACAATCCGTACTTTATAGTTATTTAATCATTGGTATGAAAAATGTGAAACAATTCAATAATGAAAACCAATGGCCTGATTTATGCTTAAAACAAAATAGAAAAGTAAATATGGCAGACAGCTGCAATCAAAGACCGTCACTAAAACTCATGTTCCTGATTTGGAACAGGCACGTAATGAATGTGGCGGGGTTAAACATTTGTGTGAGCGCTCAACCATACCCAATCAATGGACAGTGGTGTAAAGGCACAACATCTGAACAAACTGTAAAAATCATTTGATAAGGGCTTGATTAATAAGACTAGCACGAAGCACAAACAAGGCACAAAGCACCTTTAAGTTTTTTTTTGAAAATAAAAATTCGTCCCCTCGGGGTCTTATGGTAGCGTGTTTACCTCGAGTGCAGTAGGTCGTGGTTTAGATCTTTGAACTGGTAAAATAAAAGATTTTGAAATTGATTTGCGCTGCTTCTTTGCTAAGCACGAGCATTTGTAAGTAAGACCAAGAACTTGCAGACTCGTTTTATGTTGTCATGTTACACTACTGTTTCAGGTTAGAGTGAAGGTTGGCGCCTGTCAAAACGTTTAAACCCGCTGCATTTTTATGCATCTGTCCTAAGTCAGGAGCCTGTTGTTCAGTGGTTGTCGTTTGTTGGTGTGGTTTATAGGTGTTTCTCGTTTTTTTATATAGATTAGACCGTTGGTTTCCTATTTGAATTGTTTTACACTGGTCATTTTGGGGCCCTTTATGGCTTGCTGTTCGTTATGAGCCAAGGCTCCGTGTTGAAGGCCGTACTTTGACCTATAATTGTTAACTTTTTATACATTGTGACTTGGATGGAGAGTTGTCTTAATGGCACTCATACCACATCTTCTTATTTACTTCGGAGTCAGAATTTGTCCTTGTAGGTTGACATGTCTTCCTAAGGAGAGTTACTTTATCACTAGGTTTTAAATGATTTCAACACCTGAAATGAATAATTCGACCATACACAGGATGATTGTTGTTTGTTGTTTGCTTACCCCCAATGCCAAGTATTTCATGCATCTTCATAGCGAGAACACACAAAATAAAAACTTTTTTTGGTTATGAACTTGTGTTCTACTGGGATATGCGCGGGAAAGTTAAAGTACTACTGGCACTTACGATATGTAAGATATGGAACGAAATATTGCCTTGCAACAGGCCACCTATAGAACACATAAAGATATCTTGCATGGATTCTTTAACGTGGAGCGAAATTGACCCCCTTTGTTAACGAGTCACGGATCAAACGTCCCCTTTCCAATCGGAAAATATTCACTTGTTCACCATAGGCATATTTGGGATTTCCGTTAATACAGTTACAACTATTTAACATGTTCAAAACCGGGCTCAGCGTCTCCATCAAGTACAATCTATATCTAAATCACACTGTCATGTTCCCGTCCTGATTTGCATGAAATAGATACAAAAAACACCCATCGCTTATTCAAACTCAAAGATACAAGTGACATATTTAGAGGTGTTTCTTTGAACGATATATGTATCTTCATGTCTTTCATTTTCGTTTGTTTTGCATTGCGTTTTGTAGGTTGTTCAGCACAATACATTTGATGTTTCATGTATCTATTTAAAAAAGTGTAAAACATCAATTTCCTTGAAAATGCAACGAATAACATTGTATATAACATTGGGATAAACAAATCTTTCTGCGCGCAGAAATTAAAAAAAAATATTGGATACCAGAAACGATTTTGGTATGCTAATTTGATTTTGGTACACAATTATGAGCTTATTGAGATGTACTTAGCTTATTCGGGAGCCATATGTTGATTTAAATTTTACACAACCTAGCTGAGCTTATTATTGATTATAGGAGTGCTTTTTACGATCATTGAAATCCATTTCTAGTCTTATTATTTTCTGCAGATAAACTTGACATTTACATTTGTATTCTAAAATTTATGTTTTAACAGTGCGTACTCGTGTACTGTCACGATAATTTTGCCACTAATTATATAAATCTGAGCCTTTATAACCCAACTTAACTAAGGAGCACAACTTTTTTTCTGTTTAAAAAAAGCTGTCTGAATTACTTCCCTTTTGACTTAAAGCAATACATTATCTATGAAACTGTACAAAGCAATATTTTAAAATTATTTACGCTGAACTACTATTAGCTGCAATTTCTTGTGCTGATTATGTTTAGAATAAAATCATCATGTGATATCCTTAAAAAATGTAAAAACGCCGATTTTTATCTAGTGAGAAAAAGTCTTTCAGTAACTGCTAGCATTCTTTATAAAGGATTTTTTTTTGTCGTGTCTGAGATTGTGTTTTTTGTTAATAGCTTTACCGTTACGTCCATTATAAGATTTTAAAGAATCTGTTCCTGTATTTTAAATTTTAAAAGAATCTTCACCTGTAGTATAAAGGTTAAAAGAATATTTTCAATTATTATAAAGTTTAAAAGAATCATTACCTGTATTAATTTTTAATTTGTCATTGTATATTATATTTTGAATATCAGTTGATCGCGATTTGTTTAAAGGAGAGAATGAGATTAAATAATAAAAAAAAACTAGCATTCCCGCCATATAATCATGTGCCTGCCCCACGTCGAGAACTTGACAGTGGTTTTCTTATGTCATATCTAATTGTTTTCGGCTATTTGGAGAAGAATTGAGTTTT